ACGTCCCTAATGTAACTGCTTAGCTTAAATCACTAATTCATCACGGGACCTTACCTCCCTCTCTCTCATCTTGTTTTACTGCTTCCCTGTCTCTGCTTCGTGTGAGGAATTTCCTCATATCCATCTACAAACCAATGCAGTCATTTTCAGTTAATAGCCTATAAATCATGTGGTTTCACTGGGAAAATATTAAAATTGACAGGTAAGAAACATTACCAGAACTAAAAATGCGCCGCACAGTGTCCCATCCAAAACAGTTGAGAGCAGTGTGTTAGTTTACCTGCAGTTCATGCAGTGACATGCGCTGACGTGGGGGCGCTAATTCATCCTCAATTTGGAGTTAACAACACACTTGCTGCGCGTTGGAATTATCTAAATTGATGCGTTAAAAAATGTAATACTGTTGCAAATATTCATGAGATTTATACTGGGGCACAGCTCATTTATACTGGGGCACGTGCCCCAGTAAATGGGGTCTGGCGACGCCGATGAGTATTGTTGGTCATTTAGTGTGACTCATTTCGTCTGCCTCATGGTTTCCACTTAAGTGCACAGAGGATTAATTGCAATTACTGCATAAAAGCAGTTCTATAAAATTTCGCTGATTTTTTTTTTTTTAGGTTTTTAAAAGTTGAGTTTTATGTGAACTTGCAGTGGCTGCCCAGTAGACTGTAGGTCGGACATGAGGTGAAACACTTTGAACTCTAGAACTGCAAAGATTTCAATGGGTTTTTATGAAAAACAAAAATCTGGAAATTAATACTGGTAAAGTATTTCCGTAAAAGTTTAAAAAACAATCCACTGGACTTGGTTTCCAAGATTTGAACAAATCTTGGAAATCAAGTCCAGTGGATTGTTTTTTAACCTTTTACAGAATGACTATGACCTGGATTGACTGAGAATCTTCATCAGCATACTGGTAAAGTAGATGCTGAACATGCTATTCTAAATTTGAGTTTAAAAAATTATATTTTAAGCTGAGTTTAAAAGACAGTAATTGCAACAGCATTGGCAAAGTTTGTACAAACAAGGAATTTTAGTTTTGTTTTTTGTTTTTTACCAACACTCACAATGTAATAAATCTCAACAACCACAGTATGTTGAAAAAAACTTGAAGTTTTCATTAAGATTTTTTTTAAGGACCAGAATATGCCATACATGGAATATTTTATACATTCCCTCACTGTATCAAAGGCGTATGTTCCAATCACATGTATAGAGCTTGAGTTTAACCTCAAGGTCCAAATCTGGCCTTTCACTGCCATTAATCTCACCTTTCACAGCCAAAAAAAGACATATATCACAAAGTAGACTCATAGTATCAGACCAGTGTGCTCTTTGCAAACCAAATAAAACTGACATACAGCTGGAAATGGCCCTTTCAAAGACCTGCTGATGGTGAAGGGGGTCTTTGTCTATTGCCAGCTAGATGAATCGAATATAGGTCTCTTTATTTACAAACACTGTCATATTTTGCTTATTTTAATGAGTGAAAGGACTATGGTCTGTATAATTAAAGCTAAGTAAATCTTTAATTTATAAATAAAATTGTCTTTTTATTAAACCAACATTTTTTTGTTGTTTTTACAAAGTATTCATGTGCTACGTGTGCTTGTAAGCAAATTTTACACCACTGTAGCATCCTATCTGTGGGTCAAAATCATTCAAAGGGTTAAAATGTGCCTTGGACCAAATTTCGGACATTCCTGTTGTAGAACAACAAAAAAAACTTTTTCAAAATAATAAAAACAAAATAATGTGACTATAAAATCCTCCTCCTCACTTAATAAGCCTTAAATAGCAAAGCTCAATCTTTTAGAATTTAAAAAATGTGGAATACGAGGAAGATATTTTAGTTATCAGGCTCCTCTCTTGTGGAACCAACTACCAGTTTTAGCCCATGAGGCAGACACCCTGTCTACTTTTGAGACAAGGCTTAAAACTTTCCCTTTTTATAAAGCTTATAGTTAGTGGCTCAGGTTATCCTGAGCTATCTCTATAGCTATGCTGCTATAGGCTTAGACTGCTGGAGGACATAGGGACCCTTTTTCATTATTTTGCTTCATTCTATCTCTATTTTCCAGCTCTGCAAAATCTCCAATGATATGCTCTCTGCTTTTTCTCATAGTAGGTTAATCTGTTCTGTTCCTGTTTGGCTGTGACACTATTCTGTACAGGGTTGTCTGCTGTGCTGCTGCCATCAACACCTTTGTTTATGGATGTTGGAGCTTGGCCTGTTTTTCAGTGTAGTCCTGTTTATCTGACTGTGACTGGCTGGAAGTGCTCTCTTTCATCCTCTGACATCGGAGCTGGCCCGGAGCTCGTCTGCCTGGTTGTGTGTTTCCTGGACAGGGCTGCCTGTGGAGCTGGTTGGCAGTTGCCTTTTGTATCTCTGCTTCTTCTTCTAAGACTGCTTCTGTCTCCTTGAACCCCTGTCGGCAGATAGCTGCTCAAACTGAGCCTGGCTCAGCTGGAGGTTCCTTCCTGTTAAAGGGGAGTGTTTCCTCTCCACTGTCACTACACGCATGCTTGGTGTGAGGGACTGCAATGGAGTAAACGAGTCCATGCAATCGACCGGTTTTCCTTAGTTAAAAAAATTTGAATCAGTTATCTGGTGAACTGAAAAGTGCCTTGAGATGAAATGTGTTGTGAATTGGCGCTATATACCGGTAAATAAACTGAAGTGAATCAAAAATATCAGTGATTTCAAGTTTGCTGCGTTACATTTCCATAATTAGTTTCTGGGGTATTTACTAGCATGAAATTTCCAAGCCTGTGAAAGTAAACCATCAACTTCCAAAGATGCAAAAAATTACTGTTGTACTGTACACAACAATGAACTCTCAACCAAGGTACAATAAGTTATAGTACTTTAATCAACCAAAACAAGCAGGAGTAGATTTTTTTTTAACTCAAACGGCAGCTTAAAGCCACAAAAGTGAAAAATAAACGTTTAAAGAACATTTGCAGAAAAATACTATTATATACCTCCAAACGTTCCAAAAAAGTATGTATTGAATGTATTTGGAAGCACATTCAAACACTTGATAAACTGACTCTTAACTTAAAATCCCCAAGACTTTTTACACAAATCAATCCATTGTGCGTGTACAACAAAGCACCAGCACATATATTTTTCATATAGTTATTACTCTTATACTGATTACTCTATTTCAGTAGTATCAGAAACTTAGAAAATTGGGAAATGCTGTTTTTCATAGAAAAATGAATGCAGCACAAAGGAAGAAGCCTTAATTTTTACAGAAAGCTACACTGAGTATGTGTTCTGTAAACCATGCAGCTCAGTGCTGGTTTTTTCCATGCTTTGTGCAGATGGGCAGCGTTCATTAAACCAGAGACAGACTGTCCTGCCCATCCTGACACCCAATACTATGGTCTGCAGCCTCCACATGGCTCTGTGTTAATTAAAGAGTCTCCCTGATCTGGCAGATCTGGCTGGACCCTGCAGCTGATGGGGGGCTGCAGCTTTGGGACTGGTGGATGAGGTGGAAGCCCATGAAGGGGCGCGGCCTGTTGTGTGTTACAGGGGGTCAATCGTTTGAAAGCAGAGCCATGACAGCTGAGGGTAGAAGCATGTGTGCGGCATGTTTATTTTGCATTTACCCCCTTCAGTGCAGCTGTGTGCACTGTCCTTTTCTCAGAACACCGGAACGGAACACAAAGACGCCCTCAAAACTCGCCCTCCGTCCAACCCTTCAGCTACAACCTAAGGCGCCCAATCTCAGAAATAATACACTTTGTCTTCCTCCAAACACATGCATTGTATCTGGATTGCAGTTTTAGATAATAGTAGTGATTTAAGATGTGATCTGCGTAAAGGTTATGGCCTGCATGTAACTGTTTTGACCAACCAACCAAAAAACTAAATAGGGGCAGTTTAGGGAAATCCTGAACTGGTCAAGTGCTTCTGATTCACTTTTGAGACTTTGAAAAGATTTGCTTCACTCTGAACCAAAATCAAGCTTTTCATTCACATGAAATATGTACAACTTTAATGATACTAGATTCTCGAGAAACTGGTAAATTTTTTGTTTTTGATAAATAACATAATTGTATAAAACATCTGATTGGATCAAGCTGTTTTTACCTGTCCATTCTCTTTTCCTTTGCCTACAAAAATGAACATTTTTTAAAGCAGTTTGGAAAACAAATGAAGGTAAGCAGACCCTTGTAGAACAATATACAAAATATGGTAAAATTATAAATTTAATAGAATAATTTTGAAAGAGAAAGGAATGCTACTGATGCCTTACTGTGCTTTTGACTGTTGATGGGGCTGCACAGCGATGCAGTTTTGAGCACTGTTGCATTTCTGCAAGAAAATGTGTGAAATCCCGAAACCATTGTTATACAGATTTGACGGTAAAGCTGGCTGCTGCACGCATCTTTACACACTGTTTTACAATTATCTCATTTTGATTAAAAAAAACCTTCCAACAGGGACTTTAAATGGAGTATCTAGAACAAATAATTCCACTTCATACTGCTGCAGCTGTTTTTTTAATGACTTCTCTTCTTTGACAACCAAACACATTCTTGTTAAATATCCAGAAAAAGGCTGTTCAACAATGACAGCCTTTCAAGGCTTCAAAGCATCAACACACACACTCCATTCTCTGCGCCAGTCTTCCTTCATTGACGAGACGACAGCTTGTTTCTGTGTTTTTCCTGGCAGTCTGGTTGAGAAGTTGGCACATTTTTTTCAGCAAAGCAAGGGGCACATTTCGGTCTAGAGAAACTGTCCTTTTTGAAAACAAAGGTGAGTCTGTTTTGTGGCCTGCTCTCTCAGGCTCTCCGGACCGGGGAGCAACAGGCCTGCTGTGCATCTCCACACCTCCTCCTCCTTAACCTCCTCACTGTGGGCATTGGCAGGCCGAGGCATGGCATCAGGTGGATCTCCCATCTGGATCATTCTCAAACTAACCACATTTCAACTGGAGGGAGCTGAATCACTCCTGAGTTTTCTCTCCTGAAAAAAAAAAAACAAAACTCTCCCTCAGAGTTGCTTTAACAGTCGTGCTGAAAGTGAGGAGCATCTTAACTCAATGGATGTGCCAGATGTTTTGTTTTTTTAATTTTCCTATTACATCCCCAGTATCTAGGATAAAAGGTGTGCCCTTGCTTAAAATATTGCAAAAGAAAAAATAAAAATTTGGCTTAAAAATGTTAATACTGAGTTTTAGTTTCTTGTTGAATTATTTGCACAGGCAAAAGCAAAACCACAAAGAAATGAAAGAAAAAAAAACACGAGAAATTAAATAAAGTAGATATAAAACAGCACCAAACCACAAACAGCATACACTGAAAGCAATGTACAAACAACAATCAATGAACTTGGGCAAATAAGTGCATGGGAAATCCTCCTCTTTCGTCTCTCTTTAGGACTACACAACATCTCTTTCTATCAAACTTTCACACAGTGGTGATTTTTGTTCCAGCTAAAGCATTAAAAACAGGTACAGTCTGATATCCTTCTCCTAAATTCATAATACCTTTGTTGCAGCATTTATTAAGGTAGTCATATTTTCCCTCTGAGTTTAAAGTCAATTGCCCCAAACTCTTTGCTGGGTTTGTATAAGATCCCGCTTTCCAGTGTGCATCGACACATCATGTTGCCCAAGAAATGGCAGCACTGTGCTCTTTGGCTTTCATACGCAAAGCTGCAATACTGGAGGATTTGCGGTCTGGATCCATGTTGAGATCATATGAGTTGATGCTTGCAGACATGCCGGGAGATCCTCCAAACAGGCTGCCCATGTGAGGCCCAACGTGTCCTCCGGGGCTCGGGACACCCAGGAAATCGGAGACCCCGCTGGCAGAGTGGGGGTGGGGGGTCATGCAGGTGGTGACGGTGTCGCAGGGCACGACGCAGCCAGGGACGGGAGATGCTGCACTGTTGGCGCCTATCCAGGACGGGTTCTGGATCTGAAACATTAAGAAGTAAACTCCTTTAAGTAGGTAAAGAGGTGTTTTTTGTGGATGAAATATCTTTAATGGTTGTGTAGTCCACTTCTCTGCAGAAAGCCAAAATTTAAAATATATATTAAAGCTATTAAAAAAATAACTCAGTTTTTCCAATCGTTTGATTTACACAACCCCGAAAAACTATTTTGTTTTTTTGATACAGCAATATTATATTATGGACCTGATAATAATGCAACAGGGAGAACCTTAGCCCTGAGACGATTTAGAAGCAAAGACTTCTGGGGAGATTCATTAGGCATAGACGATGTCTAGAGTCAAGGTTTCAGAAGCCACTACATGCAGATCAGCCCATCTGTGAAATGAAGTATAACTATTACATTCCTTGCAATAAGCCACAACGATTATCAGAAACATCCCACCTGAAAAAGGAATATGCAGTTTGTCTGTGATCAGTGGTTTTCCTTATCCATCAATTGTCCAAACTAAATTATACATGCAGGATCACATGGGGCTGTGCTCATTGGACGAGAGGTGAGGTACATGGTCATGAATAAACATGGAGAAAAAGCAACCTCCACTTGTATAAAAATGGTCATCATACCAAGGACTTCTTGCTGCTAGATCAAAAGTTCTAATGTTCCACTTTAAATTTTAAAGAAATTCAAATGTTTCCCTATTAAAAATATATATATATTTTAATTGATCTTCTAAAACTTTTCAAAATACAGTAGTAGCCATTCTGGCCCTTCCCAGAAAATGCCAGCCGGATGGCAGCCAACTTCCAGCCACTGGAGTAACCCCCTTCTTCTCCTGGGCATGCATATTCCTTTATTCTGACTCCCCCCTTTCACTGAATTACACGGTCTGACCAGGAAATTACACTTCTCTTTAGATCTTAAAGTCCACAGATCATGACACAATGAATATTTTAGTACAAAGATTGATTTTTAAAAATGAATCTTAGGGGACCAGCCAAGGAAAAGGGGAAATTTTGAATGGCTACTAATGTATTTGAAGTGTTTTACTCTTTGTAATCAATCAAAATGAAAGATCAATCTCACATTTTATTAATCATATCAAGCTACACTATATTGTCTAAAGTATTTGCTCATCTATCCAAATGATTGGGATCAGGTGTTTCAATCACTTCCTTGGTTAAGGACAACATATGCTGACTGCTGTTGCAAACATTTATGAGAGAATGGTTCGTTCTCAGCAACTCTGTGAATTCCAGCATCAAACTATGATAGAAGCCACCTGTGCGACAAATGCAGTCGTAAAATGCCCTTTCTCCTAAATATTCCACGGTCATCTGTCAGCTGTATCATAAGAAAATTGAAGTGTTTGGGAATGACAGCAACTCAGCCACAAAGTCGTAGGCCACATAAACTGACTGAGCTGGGTAAGCAGATACTGAACGCATAGTGATAAGAGGTTGCCAACTTTCTGCAAAGTCGATCACTTCAGATTAGTTCAAGAACAGAAGGCTTCAGGAGATAGGGTTCCATGACCAGGTAGGTGCATTCAAGCCATACATCAACAGGTGCAATGGAAAGCAGATGCCGTTGTGTAAAGTAAAACGCCGTTGGACATCAGAACAGTGGTGACACATTTTCAGGAGTTGCGAATCAAGCTACTCAATCTAGAAATCTGATGGATGAGTATGGGTTTGGCGGTTGCCATGAGAATGATACTTATCTGACTGCATTGTGCCAAGTGTAAAGTTTGGTGGAAGCAGGATTATTGTATGGGTTTATTTCTATCAGAAGCTGGGCCTGGCCCCTTAGATCCAATAAAATGAACTCTGAATGCTTCAGCATAAAAAGACATTTTGGACAATTCCATGGTTCAAACATTGTGGGAACAGTTTGGAGCTGACCGCGTCCTCTTCCAACATGACTTGGCACCAGAGCACAAAGCAAGGTCCATAAAGACATGGATGTCTGGTGTGGATGAACGTGACTCATCTGCACTGAGTCCTGAACTCAACCCTATAGAACACTGTTGGATGAAACAGATCGGATACTGAGAGCGAGGCCATCTTGTCCAATATCAGTGTGTGACCTAACAAATGCACTTCTGGAAGAATGGTCAAAAATTCCCATATAAACATTCCTACACTTTGTGGACAGTCTTCCCAGAAGAGCTGAAGCTGTTCCATCTGCAAAGGGTGGACCGACGTCATATTGAACCCCTATGGATTAGGAATGGGTAGGAAAGTATAAGCCTTCGCATTGGCCTACTCCTTTTCCACTAAATTGTTGGTTTCTACATGGTACTGTATGTTGTTTCTTTTTTTTTTTGTAACGTACATTTACCAATATAAAGCTAATCTTATCTAATGTCTAATAAGCACAAATTTGAGTATAGGAAGTGATTGAATACTTTTGATTAATATTGCACATCATTAATCTGTCCCTGCCCCGCCACCAGGAGACATTCCAGGATTAAAGGGGTGAATGGTGGTTCCTGGACCCTGCAGCTGCAGCCATGGGCACCGGAGGAGGTGCGACAACAGAAATGCCAAGCAGAATTTAACACCCTCCTGTATTATCCCGGATGATTTCATTTAAAATCTAGAGCATAAATCTACCCTGATATCAGTTTAATCAGCCAGTTTTATCATCTACAACTCAAAACAAACTTCACATTTGGGTTGCAGGTTCTGTTCTTTGTTAGTGGAAAGCAACTGAAATAGTATTTGAGATCACGATTTGCCTAATAAAAAACAAATGAACAAAATGTGTAAACATGAACAAGCTCTGAAAAACAGTTTTCTGTTTTTACAGCTAGAATGAAAGTTCATAACTTTTAAGATAAAAACTTTTACTGGAAAATTATTCAACTCAACTTTGACCACTTTACATGTTTTAGATTTTTAAATGTAAATGATTAACTAAATTAAAGGAATTTAGTTATCTTTACACTACTGCTGCTGACTACTATTGCATTGGTACTATAAAAAAAATCAACAAAAAGAAGAAAGAAAAACTAAATAATTATATATTCAGATTTTTTCATTTCAAGCAGGTTACGGCCTTGGTCTCTAACTCAAAATTGGGCCCTTGAGGATCATAGTTTGAGGCCCTTGGTTGGGGGGTGTTCCTGTACCTGTGCGTAGCTCTCAGGACGCGTTAGAAGAGGGAGCTCGTAAGCAGTTGAGAAATGTGTTCGGACCTGCTGCATCTGACCAAATCGTTCTCGCTTTCTCCACTTTGCTCTCCGGTTCTGGAACCACACCTGGGAAGAAAAATTAACCAAACGTTAAAAAATAACAGCTAAAATACAAAATTTGAAAGGCCATTAGGAGCCCAGCTTTCAGGTGTATGTTATCTGGTTAAATGTGACTGTTTTAGCAGAAATAAAAGTGCTACCACAGCTAAACACACTTTGACATCTAAAGGAAATTCTTTTATCAAAATGTTTAAGCCGGAAACCAGATCCATCAAAAATAAAGCCATCTTCCTTAGTGTAACTAAGAGGCAATTAAAGCAGCATGAGTGTTTCTGAGAGGCTGACAGATCAGCTGGTTGACATGTAAACAATGAGCCACAGGCATTAAAATGAGGTGTTTATGACTTTGCAATCATCTCACCTTTGCTTATTTATTGTTGACCACAACATCTGCTTCTTCTCTTCCATAATTCTCTTTGACATCTAAATCTGAATGTGTTTACGGTTAACTTGAATGTGTTTGACTTTCCATTAGAGAATCTGAAGGTAATCAAAATGCATTTTTTTTTCTCCTGCCTTGTAATCACCATTTACATTTTTTTTTTCAAGCAAATCTAAACATCTAAGTGTAACATTTGTTTGTATTCCCTCCTGAGAATCGTTTGGTCCCTACTGATCTGTACCTTTCTGGATACAAATCAAACCAGCCTAACTTTTCTGTGTGGTGCTCATCGGATACAAAGCATCTGCCCTTTGCTCACATGCCTCACGGACGGGGCAAAAGGGGAAATTGAAAAGTGAGATGGGTTTATAATTGGTGTTTGTTTGGATTTTCCCTTTTAATTTCCTGAAGGCTTTCAGACACTGTCTCCTTCTAAATTAAAGAAGCACACAGATTTGAGACCATAATCCTTCCTTCCTTGATGTTTGATACGTCTTCTTTTGAGCTCAGTCATCACCACCCAGTCTGAGCACCTCTCTGAAAGGGTTACTTTATGGATTTATTGTAATAATTGTGCTCGCCACGCTCTTCCTCAAATCCTGAATACCTTAACATCTCAGTGTTTGCCTGGCTCTGAATCTGTTGGCTATTATGCAGCTCTAACATATTTCTGTGTTGCACACACCGCCTTGTGACAGTAATTGGTAAAGACCTTGACAGCTTAAGTAGCTGGTAGACTCTCAATGAGGCTTTATTTATGTTACTGCCCCAGAGAGAAAGAGCAGAGAAATACCAAACTGGCCTCAGCAGGAGGGCTGTACGGGGGCTGAAAGCACTTTGAAGTGAGAGCGAGGCTCAGAGGATTGATAACCGGCCTCCGCTGTCACTCATTTCACCTTCAAAACAAAGAAGGAGGAAAAAGAAAAGGGGCTGCTAAGCTTGGACTCCCATAAAACTCTAATAATATTACAGTGATGCTCTGACCAATGTTTACAGCCATCATAGGAAAGTTTTGCTCTTATTTTACTCTAAATATCTCTGCATGGAGGGGTATATACTGTATTCCCTGTGAAGTAAGTACAGGGAATATATAAAACCAGGGGACCATGTTAAAAAAAAGGTATAACTTGAAACTGTTATCTGTTCTCATATAAAACTCTGAAAATTCTTAAATACAGCAAACCTTTCTCTACTGCTTTCATGACTGTAATAAATTTTTATCGCCATAATAAATTGCACAACTTTTCTTTCCCATCAGCGATAAATCTGAGGTAAAGTATTTATTTGTGCAGCTAAATCTCAGAACACAATGGCAAAGGTAAAGTACATTTACCCTTCCTAGTGATAAATCATTTTGTTTCTTCCATTGTTTGATTCCTTTTTCATGCTGGAAATCTGTTATTTCTAAAAGCTGAATGACAGATGGAGACTTTGTTGTTTTGTTAGTTTTTTTTTATTTGTTCTTTCTCTTGTAAACTGAAATGTTTTCATTGGTTTTGTAGGACTGATTTGTAAGCAGTTATTTTGGGTTAAAAAATAAATATAGGTTTGCTCAATCCCTTTCAACAGGACTGGTGCAGCTCATTTTAAATCCCATCTATTTAGCTCTGCCCATAATAACCTTGTGATGGCCACTCTTGAATAACAGCTGTGTTGTTTTAAAGTGGCTTTGTAACTAATCTGGAGGTGTGACCAGGATCATTGTCCAGTTCGGAAAGCAGGTATGAATCCAGGCCTTCACTTCTCTGATCTTGGAAGTTGCATCAGCGTTTAAATACCACGTTTCTACTTAATTGCTTAGTCAGTTTTAGAAAGTGCACTTGTTTTTGGCTCCTCAGGCTTAAAAGTTCCCTCCTTTGTTTTCAAGTGGAGCATCTGTCATTATGGTAAAACCTTTTGAGTTTTAGTTTCATCTGTCCACAGGATGTCTCCAAAAGTATAGCTTGTATTGCAGATTAAATATGCAAACAGTTGGATAGTAACAAGTTACATTTGCTTGAGTAAGTTTCAGAACGAAATGTACCTTAAAGGAGGGGTTGTATTACTTTTTTCTATTACCTGAGTAAATTTTATGGTTACTCAACCAATTGTGCGTAACTTTCGTAGCAGGGGAATATGCAGAAAACTGTAGATATTGTCATTGAAATGTCTTTATCCTTCCTAGTATAAATTCATTACATGTATCACTCTCAGAATGGTAATCTATTCAATTAAAAAATAATAGTGATCCCAAAAGTGAAATTAAAGTGTTTTTTAAAGCTTATGTTGAAAAACATGAATTGGAAAAGTGTTTCTTTTGCCAAAATTAGTTTCAATTGTATTTCATACTTAAATAAATAATAATTTGTGAAAAACTTTCTGTCTGATTACAAAAGTTTAAACATGAAAGCAGATATTTTTAGCCAGCAATTACTCAGTAGACTAGCCATTTTACCAAGTACTGTTTTATGCTTACTTGAGTAATTTCTTGGATGATAACTTCCTACTTCTACTCGGGGGGGGGGGAATGAGTAAAGTAGTGTATATTCTTACTTAAGTAAAGATTTGCGTAGTCTACCTGCCTCTGGTTACAGTTACAGATTTCCTCCTGCTGGGTTTCCTTCAGGACTTATTTGACTGTGGATAAATATCCTAACTGCTTCAGCATCAGTTTGAAATTGAACATTTCACATATTTATCTCTGAGATACTGAACCTGTCTCCATGTAGATGAAATGAAGGCTCAACATTTCTAAAGTCTTAACGCTTGTATATAGCTGTGTAAATAGAGAAAGGTACTATCTTCAATCGATCGGACGAACCAGGCATTTTATTGCTCCACAAACCTCTTCCTGTTTTTTAGCCTGATTTCTTTTATTTTGTTAATTTTTGATGGGTTGGCTTAAAGTCCTTGTAAAGAAGTGGCTCCATTTAACTATAAGTTGTTTTTTTTTAATAACCATAAGGGCTGAAACAATGAATTGGATGAAACCTGATAAAAGATTATTGAAATAAATGTCAGCTAATTTAGTCATTGATTAATAGTTAACTGCAGTTAAGAGACTCTCAAACATGCCTGTAGCTGTCAGAGGGACCCACTTAGAGTAGCGATTACACCAAAAATAAAAAATAAATATTTTGCATTAAAGATAAAAATCTTTTTCGTCTGTTAATATCCAGAACGGAAACAAAAAAACAGAACGTTTTAAATTCAACTGGTTTTATTTCTCAAAAAGTCTTCTTTAAGGAACCGTTGCCTATCCGATCATTAAACAATTAATCGAAAAAATATTCGACAGATTAATTTTTTTTTTTTAATCCTTAAATGCAGCCCTATCTATCATAAACTTAGAAACTTTCAATAAACATGGTCTTCTCTTTCTCGCAAAGATTCAAGGTAATGTTAAAATATAATCCTGCACTTATTCTGGCATTTAGCAAATCATTTTGATAGTGCAAATCCTAAATGTGCTTAAACACATACATTTATTAGTCCGATCTACTGTCAGACAGACAAAGGGAGCTTGATACTGCAAGATTAAAATGTTTGATCTGAAAACAACTTGAATTTAAAATGAAGACAACTTCACATGATAAAGTATAAGAATGCAGAAATTTCTTAAATCTTTAAGATGTGCTCTTAGTATCCCGTCTCTGTCTTTCTGTCAGTAGGCTCAGCGTACTTTACCTGTATACTTATGCACACACCTGCGTTTTCCCAATGAACTCCACATCAGATTCCATCTCAGTTTTCTGGTTTATCAGAGCAGTAACTCTAAGAGATGTGATGCTATGGAAACCTTTGACCCATGACCCCTGACCTTCACATGTAGTGTATGAGATTCTGATCTAAACTCGCCCACTTCCTTTGAAAACCTGAGACTGAAAAAGCAAACAACTCCTGGCCCCGGCTTTGTTTACAAGAAAGCCCCCTGTAATTTGGTTTGCATGTACAAAATCTGTATGTTTTGAAGTATCCTCTTTACCAGCAGTTCTGTTTTCTTTCTATTTATTTTACTCCAGATGAAGACCTGATGAGCAGTGGTTTATCCTGCTGTGTGTGAATTTCCAGAGTGGTGCACAAAAAACCTTCCTCTTACTGACAAGGCGTTTGGTGTCTTTTATCTGTTTAACCTGAGTATTTAAGAGGACTGCTGGACGAGCCGATGGCTGTAAAGCTTCATCCATCTGCATCTGGCGGGTCAGTGATAGCACGAACTGGAGACCGGTTGCCTTCAGACTCTGGGTTGAGTTACAGCCCTGGAGGCCTCCACTGATTTCCTGTTTTTTCCACTCACTGCCTCAGGTCATCATGTGGAGGATTGTGTTTTAGTCAGTCTCCTATGCTGTCTGAGTTGACGTTCATCAAAAGAACAGAACCAAAAATGTAAAAATGTGACTTCTGGCTAAAGCAAGCCTAAGTATTCTTATAAGAGTCAGGCCTAACCAATAGAAAACCATGGGAAAGGTTTCACACCTCCCAGAGACCACAGCAGGGACACATTCTTGTCTGAACGGGACCTTAATGAAAGAAAAACAAGGAAAATCCAGGGGCTTTTGTCCTCATCCACATGTACCTCACAAGGGCACGGTGTAGATCTGATGGAGGTCTGTCACTGCTCTCTGATGCTGGAATGCATTGCAACAGTTGTAACCAGTCTCTAAGCTGATTGTGCATAAAAGGTCAGAGGGACGCTGTAGGTCCCAGACCAGAGAGAAACTCACGATTCAAGAAAAAAATAATCAAAACATTGATAATGTAAAGGATAAAGCCACCAAGAAGATCCTAAGAAAAAAACCCAGCAGAGCCATGTGTTGATGAAAGTCTGCTCTCTCTTTAAAGTGCACATATGAGGCCCAGGCAGCTCAAACCTCAGCCCCTCTGGGCCCCTGGCCTCTGTAAGCTCCCACTCCCCCACACTCTTTTTCTCCACTCCCACATTACCAGATAAATCTCTCATGGTGTTCTGTGAGTGACTTTATCTTTGCAGATACTGAAGGATTCAGGAGGTTTTGTCCACTTAGTTGTGTTGGCTGCCTAGTCTTACCTGGACTCTGGCTTCGGTCAGGTCGGTCCTCAAAGCAAGCTGCTCCCGGGCGTAAACATCGGGATAGTGCGTCTTTTGGAAAACCTTTTCCAGCTCCTCCAGCTGGTAGCTGGTAAACGTGGTGCGATTACGTCGTTTCTTGCCCTTGTTGCTTTCACCACTGTCAGATTTTTCCAGAGGACTTGCCAAGTTGTTGCTAGACGACCTTTCAGGGGCCGACTTGACACCCTGATCCTTGACCGCCAGATATCTGGAGTCCATTCCAGGAGGATCTGAGTCCGGGGCCAAATCAGAGTCTGTCAGACCAGAACTGTCCTTACCTGCAGAGACAGGAAGTGTGTGAAACTCTTAAAAGGGGCTTGTTACGGCCAATAAATTTAGCAAAAAAGCTCTTTGGGAATTTGTCACTACTTAATCCAAGAAAAATCTCCCCATTAAAATCTTAGTATGATATTTTTTGATCTGAGGCCATCAAAGAAGATTTTCCTCCTAGGAATAAACATGTATCATCCTATTAATGCCATCTAAGCATCAAGCAGAAGAAAACAAGAGGCCCTTTTGTCTAAACTTCCATTATCTGGCCTCTAGAACTGAGGATTTCTTTGTGTGATCAATATTTTGATTTATGAGGTTTAGTGGGGTGGAACAAAGAAATTTTTCACTCTGTGTGATAAAAAATGTTGTTGTGAAATGTATACGCTCAGAAAACTGGATGCTTACACCGTAGGGCCGTTCTATTTTCTATGGAACTTAAAGTTGCAGAATTCCTGACACGATTAAAGACTTCTAAGCCACTGGATTTGTCCACATCAAGCAGACTCATAAACACCTCTTCTTTGTTTCTCCATATTTAGTTGCTATTTGTGCCAAATGTTTTGGAGAATTGAATGTATCTGACAAGTCAAATCTGCCACAGGATTAAAACAAATTAATTGCTGTCAGCTTGTTTCCAGGGATTCAAGAAGAAAAAAAAATTTGATTTTTTTTTTTCTCCTTCAGCTGTACTCGTACTTGATCTCTTCATGGCTACAGTTTAACTGTAAAAAATCAGACAGATTTCTCATCCTAAATTTCGACAGGTTTCCCTATTGATTTCTGTACTCATTTTTAAATATAGTCTGATCCAGGCGAAATAAAAACACTGCTAAGGCATCAGCTAGGAAAAGCAATGGACATGGGAACAGTCTACTCAGCTAGAGGTGTCTCACAAGTTTCAGTATTTCACAAAGTTATTTTCTAGGACTGCTGAGATATAACACTTATCTGCTCAACTGAGAATTTATCAGATGTACACAAGCTTCTAAAGTACTGACAATATCTCACTCAACTGCCGCCTGTGACTTCTCCTCTATTTTAAACAAAGTGACCAAAAGGGACAAAACACCAACACACCAGTCGAAACATACAAAAAGTGATCAGAGTGAATAAAAAGGATTGGATTGTTGCAATGTCAGTAAACTAATGTCAACTAATTATTGAGAAGTGCATAATCATTTCTGAAAAGCCATTTAAATTGATATATAAACTGAAAATTTATGTTTAAAAAAAATAGTATTCTTTAAGTTTCAGTGGAAAGAAACTAATTTTAAATCTTAATTGAGAGTATGCAGAGTATCGTGGAGTACCTCAAGGTGCTGCTTTGGGGCCTATATCTGTTGTTACTTTATACTACTTTCTACTTTTTTATTAGGCTAGATCTACCTTTATTGTGATCTCTTCACTGATGTCATTCAGCAGCTTCATTAAAATGCCCCTAAATAGTCCTCCGTAATTACCTTCCTGGCTTATAGGTAGTGGAGCAAATATAACTGCAGCTAATTTTGGAAATGAAATAAACTAAATTATTGCATCAGGCAGTACCATCCCTGCCATTAAACCAGTCTTAGTAGGTCTAAAACTCAATAGGAAAACTTATTTTTTTATCTTACAAACACCATGGAAGTAGGATAAGTGCTGTGTGGCTTAATTTATGACAGTATTTCACGGTTTGTCTTCACACATAAAAATGACTGTAACGTTAAGATGGCAGCTCTTTCTAAAGAAGTTGAATTCTGAATTCAGCTGCAGTTTTCTGATGAATCAAATTGAGATAATCATAGAAATGCATCATATTTAACACTGGCTGCCCTAACTGTAAGATTTATTCTTCATTACAATTCATTCTGAAATGTTGGGGTTTATTTTGGTCCTCAAGGGCTTTACATGGATTGGTTCAATCTTGTATCACTGATCTGATTATATAACTCCTCTTGCTCATCAAACTAGAAACTTGTTAACTTTCATTCCTCCAACTGAAAAAGGAAAAAAGTTATTTGCTTTTATTTTATTTTATTTTTTTTACTGCACACATTGCAACTGCAGTAGTTTATTTTATGTGGACACTATTTGCAATTGCTGAGGGCCGCATTGGAACTGAACTGCAGTTGTTTTACATAGTATTTAAGGAAACCAAACAAACAATGAGATGTGTATTTCTTTTAGCCTGAGCGTCTGAATGTTACATTTAACCTTGTCCAACTGCAACTATATTTACACAACCTGCGATGGCTGCTGTAAAAAGCATTTAGAATAAAATAATTCACCAATAGGTAAAAGAAAATGGTATTGATAGAGAAACACAATGGTGTAAAGCTGTTGTGGTTCTAAGAGAGAACAGGCATCTAAAGGAGAGGCTCACCCAGGGTGTCATTCATCTAACAGCAAGCCTGATTTCAGCAAAAAAAAAAATTAAAAATAAAACACCTTACTAATTGAGAAGGTGTTTGAGAGAAACCATCTGCAGTTGGTGTGAATTTGTCAAAACACAAAAACCTGAATAATAATTTTGTACTTCTGTTTTCAGCCTCACTTTATACTGAAAAATAGAAGCAAACCTATTATAATAAAAACTATTTGCTCACATCGTATTTGGATTTTACTCATTATATTATTACTAATATAATGTTTTTCTATTGCATAGCACGATATTCTATTTCATAAGTTTATAAAACTTTTAAAAACTTGATCTGGGTAGACCAGTTTAATCCTATTATAATTATTCTTTATTCCACGTAGGGCTTCAACTATAAATGCAGGTGCTAATTTATGAAATTATTATTTATATCTTATTTAATTTAAATTAACCAATAATGACATGATGCTGATGTATAACAACACATTTTTTGGTACAATGCTGACTCCATATATTCTTCCTTTTCAGGTATGGACTGTGTCCGTCAGCACATTAAGCACCACTAGCAGGGAATGAGGTTGGGGCTATATAAAGTGTGGATGTTGTTCTTCTTTTTGCGTCATAGAATCAGATGTATGTCCAAATTACTGCTCCAACGAAACAACTATTTGTTTTTCTAATTAAGAGGTTTAGGTGCACCAACCCTAAATGATCACCATCCCTCATTCTAGGCACACGTTATATATCATCTGGAGGTGCTCTTTCTGAAGGGATATAGCTGGGCATACAGACCTCTGATTTAACAGGAATTGCTCTTGATTTTAACCTTTCAGAAGGAGGCTAAAATCCAAACTCAAGCTTCTATGAGAAACATGAACAACACAGTTTGTGATACCGTCATGTTGCACCTGACATCTCTTCCTGTTGTGCTTGAAAGGAGCCAAATGTCACACTGCTGTTACGTCATATTTTCTTTATTGGGACTGGTGGTTCCAATAAAGCACAGGTTCTAGCCTGTCAGAAATAACAAGACCCTGTTTTGATCAAAGGATTTTGCTTAAATAGCATCTCTTAAGTTTTTTGGCATGAATATGATATTGTAACAGTCTCCTGCTTTTAATCCAACCAAATCTTTAACAGGTGAGGCACATATCAAAGCCAACTTCTTGTGAAGGAACGCGGTATGCATAGACAGGGTCAAGATGCAACCTCCGTCAATGACTTGAGGAGTCTGTATGCTTTGCTTTTGATTTCTAAACATGAAACAATAAATGCAGGTAACCCAGCACCATGAGGCAGAGGCATCAGCAGGGGAACATCTAATTTTCAATTTTAACCTGACAAAAAATGTTGCAAATCGTCTTCCTCTGTAGAAGCATGAAGTTCTGTTTTCAGTGTTCAGCTGACAGTTAAAGACAATCCGTGTCCCTGTAGTTACTTGCCCAAAGAGAGGATTTAAAAGTGATGATAAAATACCTGTTATAGAAAATTTACCCTAACGGTGTAAAGGCTAACCCTGCCTGTTTCTAAAAGCAACAGTTTTATGTTTACTAAACCACAATCTAATGAGGTGAGTTTGTGTGAATGTCCTTATAAGCCGGTCGGCCAAAGCGGCTAGGACAGATATCACTGCTGCAACATCAAAGTGTAATTTTAACAGGCCGTAAAGCGACAGGGCAACATCCCTGGCTCTTTACTGACTGCCCTGACCGGGGTCAGCTAACAGTGTTTAAAAGGAAACATGATAAATAACACCAAATATTGTCAGGATGAGAGATTAACAACATGCTTGTTAAACAGAGGGGGAGATATTCAAAGTAGGACCTAAAGAAGATAAAAACCAAAAAGAGGAAATGCATGAATCTGAATTACTGTTATTATGATTTTACTTACACTGTAAAAAAAAAATAAAAAAATTTGGCAATGTTGGCCACTTGAGGGCGACAGAAGCTGGTTGCAATCAGCAAACAGAACACAGAACTGATAAAATTATCATATACAAAAAAAAAAAAAAAAAAACTGTAAAAACATTTGATTATAAATTGAGTAATTATCATCACTTAGCTGAGTTATTAGCACATGAAAAATAAAACTGTAGAGTTTAAATCTAATCTGCCTGTGCGTCCCTGTTTATTCTTCAACAAATCTATGTGAAGACAGTGCTGGTCTGCACAAACTCTATCTGTGCATATAATCACACACAAAACCCCCCGATTCTTTGAGTATTTCATTAAATAAATCCACAATTGTATGACTCTGCTTGAAAAGAATATTGTAAGAATTTAAAAAGGTTTAAATGTCTTTAACCACTAGTTCATATCAACGTTTTTGACCTGACAGTTTTCAAATATGAACAGGAGACAAAAAATACCATATTTTTTGCTTTTTTTTACTTTTAAAAGACCTACAAGCGTCACGTACTAAAATGCCTGCATTTAAAAGCTATGAAAACATCCCTCCTCTGCTTCAAAAAGCACTGTGGATGATAACTGTATGAAACTAGGGGTGTAAATCACATCCATCATGGCGATTCGATTCAGTATCGATTTTTCTGACCCAACGATTCGATTATTTTCGATACTCAAGAATACACCACGATTCGATTCGATTCGATTAATCGATTTAAAAATTTTTTTAGCTACTTTTTAT